TACGGCGTACGTTAGCAGCAACTGTGGTCGCTGTAATAATGTGATCCCTGTTGTTAAACCCACCAACTACTCTGAGTTGCATGCACATTCTGCCAACTCACAGTTGCACCTCAAGCTTGCCGGCGTCAAGCAGGTGTCCTACTCTGAGTTGCATGCACAAGTGTGCAAACTGGCCAACGTCCTCAAGCTTGCCGGCGTCAAGAAGGTCCTGCACATGCGTGCGTGTGTGTGTGCTTTTTGATGTCGTCCTAACAACACTCTTGTGGACACTGCCTTCCCACTCTGTCTATAATCCACTTTTGACGGCTGCCTTTGTCCAGCAATCACCCACATCACCGCACTCGCTCACACTTACTCTCCCCCCAAACACACACAATCACCAACATCACCGCACTCGCTCACACTTACTCTCCCCCCAAACAAACACACACACACACACACACACTTGCCACTTCACCGTGTGCAGGGCGACCGGGTGTGCCTGTACATGCCGATGACGCCATATGTGGTGTATGCGATGCTTGCGTGCGCGCGCATTGGCGCTGTGCACTCTGTTGTGTTTGCCGGGTTCAGCGCGACGTCGCTGCGCTCGCGCATCCTGGACGCCGGGTGCAAGGTTGTGATCACTGCTGACGAGGCCGTGCGCGGCGGGAAGCGCATCCCGCTGCGGCAGACGGTCGCCGATGCCCTGGCCTCCGACGGCTGCGCAGATCTCGTCAGCACCGTCCTCGTCCAACGCAGGACCGGTGTGTGTGTGTGTGTGTGTGTGTGTGTGTGTGTGTGTGTGTGTGTGTGTGTGTGTGTGTGTGTTTGTGTGTGTGTGTACTGTGTTTGTTTTGGTTGTGGTTTGTTTTGGTTGTGGACGTGTGTTGCTGATGTAGTTTGTGCTAGTCCTGGCTGTACATATGCACTGTGTACTTGTGAGCCTCTGTGCGTGTGCATGTTCGTGTCTCATCGTGGGCCCTACTGGTACGTGTGTGCGTGTGTGTGCTGCGTGGTTGCGGCTGCAGGAGTTGAGGGCGGACTCCGCGCCGGTGATATTGATCTCATCGACGCCATGGCCAAGGTGCGCTGTTCACCACAGAACTGCTGCGGCGGTGTTGCTGGGTGGCAAATGTGTTCAGTGCACAGCTGTGTCTTTCAGAGAGATGCATCTGCCCAATGCAAAGCTGTGTCTTCCACAAATGCAGTCCTCACCCACCCACATACATACAACTCACACAACACACACACACACACACACATACACACACACACACACACACACACACATACACACACACACACACACACACACACACACACACACACACACACACACACACACACACACACACACGTGCGCACGCACATGTACCATGGGCAGGAACGACCGTACTGCGAGCCGGAGATGCTGTTCAGCGAGGAGCCGCTTTTCATGCTGTACACGTCCGGATCAACGGGGCAGCCAAAGGTCGGCGAACACCTGCTTGGCTTCAGTGTCATATTGGGCCGGGGGGGGGGGGTTGGACATGCCACGATGGCTAGGCTATAGTCAACCCTTCACACACACACACACACACACACACACACACACACACACACACACACACACACACCCACACACACACACATACAGGGGCTGGTGCATAGCACTGCTGGGTACATGACGCAAGCTGCTGTGACGCACCGCGCAATCTTCGACTACCAGCCCGGCGACGTGTACGCGTGCGTCGCCGACGTTGGCTGGATCACGGGTCACTCATGTGCGTTTTAAGAGTAGGGCAATGATGTGTGGTGTGTGGTGTGTGGTGTGCGGTGTGTGGCGTGTGGTGTGTTGCGTTTGTGTGTTTGCGTGTGCTTTGGTTGCTGCAATGTTGGGTCACATTTGTCGCATGCAACGCAACGCCAACGGCCAGATGTTGTGTACGGCCCACTTGCCAACGGTGCAACAACGCTGCTGTTTGAGAGCATCCCCACCTACCCCGACAGCGGCCGCTACTGGGAGGTGCGCGTGGCGGTGTGGTGTGACATGACGTGAAATGCATGATGTTTCGTGGTGGAAGTTGTCAACGCATGTCGAGGCGTTCATGCGACAAACGCAGATGTCATGCACACTCGCTTGCTTTCGTTCTCTGACGCTGTTCACGTGTATGTGAGTTTAATTTTTGTGTGTATGTGTGTTTTTGTGTGTGGTGTGATGGCGGTGTTTAGATGGTGGAGAGGTATGGCATCAACCAGTTCTTTACAACACCAACCGCCATCCGACGGCTGATGAAAGACGGTAAGACTGCTTCTGTTCTGCGTTGTTCGTTGCAACATATTGTTGCATAAATTGAATGCACGCAACTGTGTGTCTTGATCGCCCTTGACCTCATCAGATCCCACTTTCGCCATGATGACCTCGCCATACATGACCCTTCACCACCATCATCCAACCACCACCGCCACCATAACCATCATCCAACCACCACCGCCGTCACCGCAAACAGCTGACGAGTTTGTGACCAAGTACGACCGCTCCAGCCTCCGCGTCCTCGGATCAGGTGCGAGCAATACCACCACATCTGTGACAATGATCGCATCCTTAAACGTTCGCACCTCGCCCACCCCACCCATGTTTTCATGCGGCATGTCAACATTCTCGTCACGCCCACGCTTACGCCCTCACATATTTTCCTGTCTTGTCGCTCGCTTGTGTCACTGCCCAGCCGGGGAGCCCCTCAATCCGGAGGCGTGGAAGTGGTACCACAACGTGGTTGGGGACGGTCGCTGTGACATCATCGACTCGTGGTGGCAGACAGGTCCGCACATGCACTTGCTGGATGACGCCACTGCAACGAACTCACACACACACACACATACTTACACACATATACACGCGCACACACACACACATATACACGCGCCTACACACATATACACGCACATACACACATATACGCACATACACACATATACACGCACATACACACAAAGACACACACTACACTCTGCTGCTTCGCACGACCTTACGCTACGCCTTGGTTCCTGCGCATGTGCTGGTACTTCAGAGACGGGAGCGCCGATGCTTGCGCCGCTCGTGGGGACGAACAACCACAAGCCAGGCGCAGCCATGCAGCCGTTTTTCGGCATCACGCCTGCAATCCTCAACGACGACGTGCGTTCAGCCGTGCTGCGCGCGTGTGTGTATGTGTGTGAGGGAGGGAGAGAGAGAGAGAGAGAGAGAGAGAGAGAGAGAGAGAGAGAGAGTGTGTGTGTGTGTGTGTGTGTGTGTGTGTGTGTGTGTGTGTGTGTGTGTGTGCGTGTGTGGG